AAGAATTCATTTGGGTGCTTAAGGATTCGAAGAGGAGCTCTTCATATTGATGCATGAGTAAACACTGCCCCTGAGTATTTAAACAAGAAAAAATTTCAAGACCACATTTTAAAATTAATGGCCTAGATCCAAGAATGATTATGTTTAATAATAAAGCAAAACATTGCATCTTCTCCCACAATTGTGTCACCACTTGATTCTTCCTGAAGTATTTAGGAGAATGCCTGAATGAGACTTTGGAAAAGGTCCTAAATTACTAAGCTTATGAAACACAGGAATGAGTTTTTGGATTCTACCAGGAAAAACAGTCCTTGCAAGAAAGAAGAAAATGGTGGACATTTCTGAATACTCTTAGAAAACACTGGGCACACAACCTGAGACTGACTTACAGCAATGATAACTTCTGGATACCAAAGTTCAAATAGGAGAATTGCTGGCCCATCTTTCTAGCCAGTAATCAATAGACATAACGTTTTGTACAATATATAGTTTCATTTTATTTCTTTTGAAAGCATTACGTGATTTTTCCAAACAAGTGATTTTTCTCCACTACAGACATTAAATGCTCAGTCAACAGTTTGGGATACGGAATAAATATTTTCCTCAGTCAATCCACATCTCTTTGGGGCTGCCATATTTTTGAGCCTGCTTGCCATGTGCTAAAATAGTTTATTTTTAGTATACCCAGAGAAGCAATGTTAAGTTGAAACACTTCTGCTTACTTCAGCATGGGTTGTGTGCCAGTGTTGTGCCAGACTGATAAGTCTCTGCATATCATACATTATGTTTAAAAAAGAAAAATAGATACACATTCATGTCAACCCCAAAGAAGGAATATCTTATGTACAAAAAGCAAATCTCCGACTACAACAATTTAAATATTTGCAGTTCAAATATTATGTACAAACAGTTTTTGTAAATACTTTATATAACATTTTCATGATCAGAAAAAAAATTATGGCACTAAACTAACATTTGAACGTAGATCTAACTACCTAATACATTTGAAAGTAGTTTGAACTCAGAAATGATATGATTTCTGAACAGAACAGATGCTTGTTCCGGTGACATTATTCTTTCCCACCTCATTTATTCAGAGGAAAACCCCACAGTATTCAAGATGGCTGAGTTTGTGATCCGTGCCATTCATCTGAAATGTCCATTTCAAAAGGCACAGCAACCAAATTCATTACACAGAAACATACCAAATTTCAGATGATCATTTGAATGGCGTGTTGGTAAAATATTACAATCTACAGGTAATCCTCGACTTACAACAGTTCATTTAGTGACCATTCAAGTTACAACAGCACTGACAAAAGTGACTTATGACCATTTTTCAAATTTATAACTGTTGCAGCTTCCCTGTGGTCACATGGTTTACATTTGGATGCTTGACAACTGACTCACATTTATGACGGTTGCAGTGTCCCAGAGTGACGATCTTTTGATAAGCAAAGTCAATGGGGAAACTAGATTCACTTAACAGCCATGTTACTAATTTAAGAACTGCAGTTATTCACTTAACAAATGTGGCAAGAAAAGTTGTAAAATGGGGCAAAACTCACTTAACAAATTTCTCATTTAGCAAAATAAATTTTGGGCTCAATTGTGATCATAAATTGAGGATTATCTGTATAAGCAACTTTATAGCTTCATCCTAACCCATTTTACAATGTATGTAGATAATGTTGCTACCAGTTCAGAGCACAGTCCAAAATAGTACTTCAGGTTGCCTTAAAATCTGGTTTGGATTTATTCTTACAAAAAGGAACATTTCCTATGTTATTCTCCCGTCAGCTCTCTAAAATTTAAGGGAGAGAATCATCTCCGTATCCTTCCAGAGCTTGAGTCAGGATGACCAAAAGAATTTTTCCCTCATAAAAAAAGATCCCAGGAACATACCTAGATATAAGCTAGTCAGAGTCACTTTCATGGTTGGCAAATAAATTTCATAAATAAATAAAAATAACTCCCTTTGGCCACTTTTATCTGTCTTCTATCCAGATTAGTTTTATTGTTGGTTTTATTTTTAATGTCCAATCCCAATGATTTTTTTTCTTTGGGTTTTATCTTTTATCCTTCATTATTTTGCTACTCTGGCAAATGATTCTTTTGCTTGGTTTCTACTGTGGAAGAGCTACATATTTTCTCTAAAATAAGCTAGCATAGACTAACTAATGTGTAGAACAGCCATGCATTCTTAGCTGGATTATCCTACTCATTCAGATTTTTTATTTGTAATATAATCAGGCTGTTTCACCCATAGATTTTATCTTCCCTTTTTTAATTCAGAGGTTTTTTTTTAAAATCAGTTACAGTTGGTTTGCCAGGCCTATTGGAAAAACGAATCCAGTTTTCTGTGTACCCTCTCAATATTATTATACATGTTTTTACCAATCATGCCATTCTTTATTTTCAGTGTCAGGATGTTGCAATCCAGAATCCGGTTCACCTTTCTACCCTGCTGATTGAATGTTAAAAAACAGACTACAGGCAGATCTGTTTCCTACAGTGAAGTACCGTAATTATAAAATTCATCTTTTAGGCTGGACAGTCGTGGTGCACAAACCATTTTGAATTCAAACCTGTGTGAAATTGGAAAGAGCCAACTTTATTCAAAATGGGCTCTTTTTGGTCAACGTAGAACCATCTTGAACTTGAAACCACTTATCTTTACCTTCAGGTCATCCCACCACCAACAGAGGCCAGCAACCATTTTTGGATGATAGGAATAGATGATGTCAGCCCTGTATTCAACCTTCACGGGATCCAAAGCCACTTCCTTGTATATATTTTTTTCCTGGCTTCCCTTTAAGAACAGCCATTCTGCTTTTGTCCTTACTGTTGGCTTTTTAAAGCTATGGTACTATTTTTCTTTCTCTGAATTGCCTACTTTGCCCTTCTTCTAAAATAAATAAATAAGTCAACCTATCTGCCATGTTTGTCCAGTGGCTGGAATGTGAGAGGAATGGGGTATTAAGAAAAGGACAGTGTGAAAATTGGCAGGTCAGGGCCATGTTGTCTGAGCAAGGCGAGATCTTCAATTGCTATGTTATTGAACCTCTGTTCTTCATTTATCTGGAAGACATTAGGGACAAACAGGGCTGCAAGAAAACTATTCTTATTTTAATCCTGGTTCTCATACCTACATAATAAATTCAATGTAAGTACCTTTTGATGGTTTGACTTTGCATATGTTCACTCAAATTACTCTTGCCTATGCCTATGCACATGTATTTGTGTGTATGCATCCATATGCATGAACATGCATGTATGTGTCTACGTATATACCCATCAAGAGAGAGAGAGATGTTTATATCTCCAATAAAACCTTCCCTCAAGAAGGAAAGGAACTGACTACAAGTGGTTCTCAACTTACTGTCAAAATTGAGCCCAAAATTTCTGTTGCTAAGCAAGACAATTGTTAAGTGAGTTTTATTCCATTTTATGACCTTTCTCACCACAGGTGTTAAGTGAATCACTGTAGTTGTTAAATTAGTCAAAGTGTTGTTAAGTGAACCTGGCTTCTCCGTTCACTTTGTTTGTCAGGATCACATGACCCCGGGACACTGCAACCGTCATAAATATGAGTCAAATGCGAAGCATCTGAATTTTGATCACATGATCACGGGGAGGCTACGATGGTCATAAGTGTGAAAACTAATCATATATCACTTTTTTTTTAATGCTATTGTATCTTTGAACTGAAAGATGAATTGAATGATGAAAGATGAATTAAATGAATTGTTGTAAGTCAAGGACTTCCTGTATCATTTTCCTGAACTAGAAACTGAGAATCATCCAATGGGAGGACATTGTAGTCAAGGTCAGGAGCAGCTTTAAAGTTCAACGCCCTCTAAATATGTCCAAAATGAGGGACACTGCTGTGAATGTAGAACTGCTCTTTTGAATACAGAATTGAGTGTTTTGAATTTGTAATAGTTCATTTTTTTAAAAAAAATGCACAAAGGAAAACATCTTGATGTCTCAAAACACACATAGGCCTTTTGTGGGATTCCATTTTAGATCTAATGACTGTGAAAATTCAGTATTAATACATGGTAACATGCCTGCATGAAATATTTTTTTAAGCTGCTGAGTAATATGCTAAACAGTTTGAATGTAACTAAAATAAAACTAGTGATTAAATTAAAGTAGAAAATGAAGGTAGTTGTCCACTTGCAACCATTTGTTTAGTAACCATTCAAAGTTTGAACAGTACTGAAGCAGGTAACATCATCAGTGCTTGTAAGGAATACTATCCTTACTATCACTGATGATGCTACCTTGTTTGGGTAATAAACATCTGCAGAAAACAGCCAAGCTCAGAGAGCACCAAGAAAACCTCAAATGAAAGGTGTTTAGGATTAGGCTGTAAGGCAAAAACAGCTAAAAAGAAGAGAAAATAAGACAGGAATTTGACACAAGAATAATTTGCTCATCCAGCAACTGATTCTAATCGTTTCTTGCAAATTAGCCAAACTGCAATTAAAGCAAACCAGTGCTAAGCATGACGTGTGTAGCAGTTTTATAATGGGACAGTCTTTTTTTAGTGAAGGCTGAACTCAGTGTTTATAATCCAGTTGTGAACTGTTATAGAGTTCAGGTTCAGCAGTGTAATGCCTAGGAGTACTAATGTCTTCCCTGACATCTCTTTTCGCACCTTCCACATTATACCTATTTTACTGGGCTTACAGCATTTAAAACATGAAATATGTATAATGTTCAAGAAATATGTAACATTACCTTGGTATTTTTTTAAAAAAGTAAAATGTTAAAAAGCCAAATGACAGTTTGTAGCACCTTCTTTCTTTTGAGGAGGCCTCCAAAAGATCCCAAGCATTATTAGAAATTCAAAACAATATTATTATTAACATCTATTGTTGGATCAAGCCACATTGTCCCACGTGTGTTGTTACCAAATTGCCAGTTGGGTGCATTTTGAAGACTCACAAATATGGAGATGCTTTCATCCGAGCAGCTGGTATTTAAGGCACAGTGATTCCAGAGCCTAAGAACTATCTCAGGGCCACAAGAAGTAGTAGCTACGTGGCATATAGAGATGTCAGATCTTTATGCATATACTTTAGCTGAGTTTTGCAAAATTATTTCTTGAGTTTCTGATGAGTGGAGAGTGAGCTCTTTGGTGTGGACTTTCAGTGTCTAGAAAATTTCCTTCACGTAAGTCTTCTTGGTAGGATGGTTTGTCTTTTCTTCTGACCGAGGAAAGCTGAAAAGAAATCATATGTCAAATGGGTACTGTGTGAGCATATCCAAGTGACTTCTTGATCATGGTTTTGAGGAGCAGTCAAGAAAAGTGTCTGATTTGCTTATATCACATCCACAGAGTATGTTTGTTTTTATTGGAATTATGATACAAATTCGATGAAAAGTTCAGAGGAGTACCATAGATTGAAAGAAGAATGTAATAAACAGTCCTGCACCAAACAAAATCTAAATCAGGGGTGTCCAACCTTGGCAACTTTAAGGCTTGTGGACTTCAACTCCCAGAATTCCCCACCCAGCCATGGGAATTCTGGGAGTTGAAGTCCACAAGTCTTAATGTTTCCAAGGGTGGACACCTCTGGTCTAAATAGTCCCTTGAGGTTTTGATCAACAAAGAAAAACAAATGTACATTATGCATATGATGCAAGCAGATAATTATATTTTTTTTACAAAATGATGGATTAGCAAAAAAAAAAAAAAACCTTTATTGGCTTATACTGGCTCGCCAGGCCGAGCCTGCTTCCTTTAGCTATCGCACCAATAAAAGTACACCCAAACTAATATTCATTCATAACACTGCATGCTTTCAGAACTGGAAAGTGACTTACCTCTTTAGAACTGAGTGCTTCATTTTCAGGAATAGGTACAATTGGATGAGTGGTCTGCAAATGGAAATGTCAAGAACATTAAAAGGCAACCAAAATAGCCATATATAGCATAATAATGGCATAACATTAAAAAAAAAAAAAGCACTTGGCAAATTGAAAACTAAAGGCCAGTACAATTTACTTCTAACATCCTCATTATGAATGGCTATCTGAGGACTTATTGATGGTGTTATCAGGAAAATGCCAGATGGTGTATTTGTGCAGGCAGCAGATTAGAGTTTTTGGAACTGTGTCTCCTTACGTGCAGAAAGAAACAGTTTTGCCCCTGCTTCCAGCAATAGTTAACATTGATTGAAAAAAGGACATTATTTTTCCTTTCATTGTGAAAGTGTCTAAACAAGAAAAGGTAAAAGGTAAAAGGTTTCCCCTGTCCAGTCATGTCTGATTCTAGGGGGCGGTGCTCATTATTTTCTAGCCAAGGGAGCCAACACTGTCCAAAGATGCTTCTGTGGTCATGTGGCTGCCATGACTATACATGAGGTACATGGAATGTAGTTACCATCCTACTGAGGTGGTACCTATTTAACTATTCACATTTGCATGCTTTTGATTGCTAAGTTGGTAGGAGCTGGGCCAAGAACAGGAGCTCACCCCATCATGCAGTGCTTGGATCTCGAACTGCCGACCTTCCGGTCGACAAGTCCACCATCTTAACCGCTAGGATACAGTGCCCCTTTAGATCTAAGCAAGAAGCTTTTCCCTGAAAGACAACAGAAACTGAAAAGAAATAACATGCACTTTAGGATCCTGAAGACCCTTCATGCAAGACACTGACATCGATGTCACCCTTCTTCGATAGTCAAGCCAGTTTTATTTTCACTCATTTGAAAGCTAGGCTCCAATTGCAATACTTCTGTTTGTGATTTCTGATCCTGAAGTTTTGTGAGGTCTAGATGTGAGAGGCTGTTTTCCAATCTATCAGCGCTCTTGCTTCATCCCATCCTGGCTGCTTGAGTTTTGAACCTTTATAATAGATTTCACAGGGATCCTAGCCAACAAATCTGATCTTAACCTTAAACCTTCTAAGTCTCTTTTACATTCCTTGTTGTTGTTGTTTTTTTAAAGATGCTTCTAAGAACTGCTGAATTGATTTCTCCTGCTTTTATAACTAATATTTATCAATGTCTTGCCTCGTCTGTTTTTCCAGTCTGTAAACTTTTATTTTCTCCCTCACAAATATACACATATTGACGATCAAGCTGTAATCTACATGCCTAGTTGCTGTTGTTTGGGAGAAAAATCTGGCTGTAAAGTACAGCTCAGGAGATGTATTTGCAGGAGATAAAAGGCAAGAGAAACTTCTAGAGCAGTGTTGAAGAAAGGAACAGACCAATCAAGCATTGGTAAGAGGCCATATTATGGATTACATCATGGGAATAAGAATAGCAAAATGTTGTTATCCACACATAACCACCCATCAATCCTGTCTAAGGTGACCCATTCCCTGCTGGGAAGTAATCACAAGACTATCTGCAGGTTGTTATGAAGACGACTCTAGGTATCTAATGGATAAAATTGCTCAGATCCACTGAGGTGCTAAGATCCTGTTGATGTGATCAAGGCATAGATCTGTTTGGTTATGTGGGAAATGCTTGGCTCTGTGTCTCTTGGGGGAATGGACAGGACATGCTATCTAGTCACCTGCTTATTTAAATGATGTCCCTCCTGATCTGCTAAGAGGTGGCATGTGGTTAAATCCATGCAATAGTAAATTTATCCTTGAGAAGAGGATTGTTTCAGTTGGCTTGAAGGAGGCAATGGTTGTTGTGGTCCACTGGCAGTGGTGCAGACAGCAGCACAATTGGACAGTGAGGAAGAAAGGGAACTAGTCAGGGAGTTTGGAAAGGACTTGGATAAGAGTCCTGCATCTGATGCAGGGATGGGGCCAGGACCATCTGGAAGTAGGGTGCGACTTTTGGAGCTTTCAAAGTCTGGCAGCAGCAAAGCAGAGGACCCAGGGGAATCTGTTCCCAGTACATGTGCGCGCAGAGCTGCTAGAAGGCAAGAGCAGCTCAAACAGAAAGGGTGACTTGGGGATAAGGCTGGGAGGTGATTGCCCCTCCCATAAGGGGTAAAAGCCAGACCTCAATGACCAAAGCTTTGCAGGAAGCAAAGTAGTTCGATAGATTCTGAGCCTTCTTTGAAGCTCTATGTACTCTGGTTAATTTTTTCTGGTACTTCGGTTGATTTCTGTTATACTTCTGTTTTTGGCAACATTCCACAGCACTGAAAGGAGTGTGCTTATCTTGGGGAACTGTTTATAATTAGTTCTGAGTGGGAATGCCCGTAATTCCCAGTGTTGCAATAAAAGAGATTTTGCTTTTAAAACAAGTTTGATATTAATTCCGTTTGACGAAACTCGATCAGAACAATGGTGTCCTCACTTGCCCTCAAGAAGCCATCATTGGATTCCATGGTTCTAGATAATTTTTATCCAGAAAATATGAAGAATGTGGTCAGATTACAGTTCCAGACAGCCTGGAAGAATTGAATTACCTGGACTCATTTCAATTGGATTTCATGTCAAAGCATAGTAGGGAATTAGCATTAATCACACTTGTTGGTGAGCTCTGGTAGAGCTGGGGCAAGGATGGTGCAATCCTCCTGTTTTTTCTTATATCTCAGCAGTTTCAATATACTAATCATGGTATTCTTCTAGACCATCCATGGAGTTTAGGAGTGCTGGTGCTGGAATGTTTTTTCTTTCTCTGTAGTCAGTTCCAAATGTTGACAGATGTCAAGAAATGTAACTTGAAGCCACCAGGTAGTGAGATACCTCAGGACTTAACGCTCTCAAATCTTCTACTTAACTTCTAAATGAAACCCTTCAGCAAAGTCATCTGTTGATATGGGATCAGGTACCATCAGTATGTTAATGGTTCTCAACTAAACATTATAATCCCTGGTCATGCAAATAAGATGACTGAGATCATATCTCAACCCTGGAGATTGTTTCAACCTGGAAAGACAAATTCACCATGATGAGATTGGGTAGCTATGATTGCATGATTCTTTTAATGTCAGTGAATTTTCAGTTTTGTTTCTAAATGGGGTGGCACTTTTCCATTCAGTACCGGAACAATGTAATCCTGGCTCATGTTGAGTGAGCACGTGGCAACTTCGCCATGAGAACCTTCACAAAGAACCCCCTGGTGTCCAAATTGTGCTACTTCCTGGGTCAGAAGTCCATTCTCATAGTCACTCATACCTGGTAACCCCACATATAAATTATTGCAATGTTGCCCTTGAAGGACACTCAAGAACTACAGCTGGTTCAGAACATAGCAGAATAAGAAGTCCACCTCAGAATACCCCTGATAGTCTAGCTGTAATGGTTACCAGTGAGCTTCTGGGTGCAATTCCAGATGTCAGTTATTATCTACAAAACCTTTCATGGCATGGCTATCTGAGAGATCACCATTTTTGCATAATTTCTGCTTGCCCCATAAAATGCAACAAGACATGCATGCTCCATGTTAAAGAAAGTCATCTGCTGGGCCCAAGGAGAGCATATTTTCTGTTGCAGCACTTTCTTTCTAGAGCAGGGATGTCCATACTTGGCAACTTTAAGACTTGTGGATTTCAACTCCCAGAATCCCCTCAGTCAGCATGGCTGACTGGGAGTCTTAAAGTTGCCAAGTTTGGAGACTTCTATTCTAGTGTAACATCTCACCAAGAGTTCAGACTGTCCCAACTCTGCAAATCTTTATACGGTATTTTAAAAACTGGATTCCCGCCCCCTTACTTCCAAAGTTCTGGGATAGCTTGGCAGTGTGCCCAGTTGATCTGCAGTGTTTGCCTCATTCAGGTGTATGTTGTATTTATTTTGTCTATATTGTAGGTATTATACTGGTTAAAATTGCATGCCACCTAGAGTCAATGTTGAGTTGGGCAGCCATATCAATCTAAATTTTAAATAAATCAATCATATTTCTTAATGCAGATTTATATATAGGAATAAAATTAATGGAAATTCCTCATAACCTGGCTCAAAAATAGCAAAGTCACAGCCAAACATAAGCAGCAGTAATTTTAATTGAGAATAACAGGGATAAATGAGAATAAATTTTATCTGGAATACATTATTATACTAATAATGCAATAGTCATGGTTTGGAGACTCAGAGCTGAAGGGGATGGTCTCAAGTTATTATCAGAATAAAAGCATAAAGAGGTAACTAAGTTTGACCCAACAAGGTAATAAATAAATACAATATAATAGGTTATGATTCGCCATAACGTAGGCTAACGTAGAGTTTGTGGTTTATTATATTCTTTATTTACTTGCCTAGAGTTAGTATTTTCAAGTATAGCCACAATACTACATAGCTAAAGCACAGCCATGTTGACCAAATTGTGACCCCTGGACATACCAGCTTTTGACTGGAGATACATACCAAGTACAGAATTGTACAGAAAAAAAGATAAGAGAATGCCAAGGGATGAGATATGAGGGGGGTCAATTGCTTAGCAAATTCGGGTGATAATAAGGGCTTAACTAACTTTATATATTTAGGGCTAATAGTAGATAATACGTGGTCGGAAAGCATGTGACTGAACCAGGCCTATCAACTGGGTCCGGCTAGGAAGGACCTGCAGCAGGTGAGAAGTATGTATAAAATATGCTGAGATCTGTAACTCAGGGTGGGCTTCTGTTAATGTTACCAGAAAAGTCTCACCACTCTTTGCTTTCTAATAAACCTTACTTCTGATTGATCCAAGTATTGTGTGGATTTGTTACGCACAGAACCTAAGACATTGCTGTTGGATGGGGCAGGCGCTTTTTATTGTTATTCATATTTTTATGTTTTTTTCATCACTGATCTAGTTTATTTAGGGTGTTGTGTTTGTATTTTATTGGGGTGGGGGGCAGTATGTTGGTTTTTATTACCTTAAATGGCCAGAAATCCTTACTGCTTTGGCAGTATGGAAATATGCCCACCAAACAAAGAAATCCTCTGCAGGCCTGTTTTTTTCCTAGATGAACTACACTGA